TGCCTCAGGTGGGGGCTGTTGCTTCTCATTACGAGCATGGGCCGTGGTGCAGGGCCCTTGTCTGGTTTTGTCCCCTAGCGGGTCCCCCCGTGCAGGTCCAGCCCTGTCTCTGTGCCGGCCTGCACCTGCCGCAGGTGTCGCTGTGCACGCTTTGGAGGCAGGATGGAGGCCTGCCTGGAGCTGCAGGGAAGCCAGTTTGGCTGAGGCAACGAGACTGAGACCCTGCCTTAACTAGGGGCTGACTGAGCCATGTGGCCGCTCAAACAGGGCAGCACAATTGCAAGCAATTGTGTGCAAGGGACTGTCATTGCACTCAGGGCTGAGATACTTCTTGTGGTGGTTGTTGGGGGACGGGTGACTCCCGCCTGGGGTGTTTTACAGTGGACTCCTAGTAGGGCCACAGCCAGGCAGGAGCAGCCCTGTCAAGCTTGTTGCATGTCCTTTCACAGCATCTGACGAAGTGATTTTTCAGCTTCCAAAAGCTTATTATGCTACATATATGTGCGCGCGTGTGTGTGTATAAATGGTATAAAGAAAGCTGGGAGCAGGGAGTGTATGTATAACTGGTATCCAGGTTGTAGCTGTATTAGTCTAGAGCAGAGCTTTCCAAACTTTTCATGTTGGTGACACACTTTTTAGACATGCATCATTTTGCGACACAGTAATTCAGTTCCGGGGGAGGGGCCAAGGGAAGCAGACGCGAGTAAGGGAGCTCCGCGGTGCCCTTCCACAAAATTTTCTGCATTTCGCGCGACACCCCTACACACTGCCGCCGACACACTAATGTGTCGCGGCACACAGTTTGGAAAGCTCTGGTCTAGAGGAAAAAACAATCAGGGCTCATGGTAGAGGTGATGTCTGTTTTTAGAGCAACAATAATTGGTCTAATAATAAAAGATATCACCTCTACCATGAGCCCTGATTGCTTTTGCATATGTAACTAGAAAGCGTTGCTAATATACTAGGGGCCTAGGGCTGTGTTATGCAGCTGAAGACTGAAGCAAAAGCAAATACCCTGTTTTGGAATGAGTTAAAAACAATTTGCAGGGCTGTGAAATAGGAGCTTCCTTCCCAGGAGCAGCAAACAGAGAGCAGCATGGCAGAACAAAGGCTGGCTTGATTGGTGGAACATCAAGACCATTAAAAAGAAGCGAGGGTCGTTAACACCTGCCGAATGAAGAGTTTGGAAGGAATCGGGTAGATGACAATGAGCCATTAAGTCAGTTGACCCCCTCAACGCTGTCTGAGTAGAAATGCTGCTGCCACTGCCAAGCAGTTGCTTTTAAATTTGGGGTGGAGCAAGAATCAAAGTGGGGTGTAACTGCATCCCCCTCCCCCAGCCCCTTGGATCTGCCCCTGATAGCTACATTGGTTAGTCTATAAGGTGTACATCTACTCTGCCTTCTGCCAGACTCCCCCAGCCAAGCATTGTTGTATCTGCTCTTCAGAAATACTGACAGTGGAGATTCCACCACAGGGGGGGTCATCTTTAGTAAGTTACCTCCTTTGTCATTCATTCCATTTCTGATGCACTGGGAAGGAGATAGTTAGCCATGTTAGGCTCAAGTCAGGTGGAAGGCAGGGCAGGTGGCACTTTGAAGACTAACTGGTTCAGAAAGGGATGAGCTTCTGTAGGTGACAGCCTGCTTTGTCAGATGCTGTGATGTGTGAGGTAAAGAAGACAGTCCCAGATCTGAGGGACTGGGATACTTTACTTCCAGCGAGAAGATTGAAGGGAGCAATGGTTATAGCAGAGTTGTCAAACTCACCTAGGCTGCATCTGGACCATGGGGCTCCTCAGTGGGCTGGATCTGGGGGCTGTGGGCCAGCAGTGGTAGAGGCTGTGCAAGCAGCATTGGGCCGAATAACTGCAGAACAAACAGGGCAGTGGAGGCCATGGCCCTCACTCCTCTGCTGCCAAGGGCCCTGAATTCAGCAGTAGGCTCTGCCCCTCACTAGCCACATCTCCCAAATACCCTGGACCACCCATAGCGCAGGGAGCCAGGTGGAGTGTCCCTGGGGGCCAGATCCATCCTGTGGGCATGTGTTTAACACCCCAGAGTTTAACACCCCAGAGCATTAATCACCTGGAATAACCCATAGATACCTGGACGCATTAATATTAGAAGCATTTTACTCATATATGGAAAAGCTTGATAAAGACACTGTCCCAAACAGGGTGATTTGTTTGCTTTTCCCACAGAGTCCTAGCTAACATTATTCATAGTGCCACAGGATACCACTCCAAGACCATACGTTTTCTCAATGTGGCCTTTGACAATTCTGGTGACTCATTACTTGCTGGAGACCATCAAGGGAATATCTATGTTTTTGACTTGAGTGGAAACAGGTAAGCATTATTTTTTATTATTAATATATGGCTATTATGTGTTATTCTTTGATATATTCTACCTTTACATTTCTTCACGTCTAAATTTATTGGAATCTCCCTTTCTGTCACACAAAGTGCTTGTTTTTAACCTCAGTTGTAAGTGCTTTCTAGAGAGATGATAGCTTGTTCTGAGCCCAGAACAGAGAGCTAGGTTCTCATACAGTCTCTCAGGGGAGTATTGTACAGGCAGTCCTTCGACTTACGACACAATTGGTTCCTGAAAATTGCGTCTCAAGTTGAAATGATGCAGCTCGGAACCGATTTTCTCATAGGAAACAATGTTATAAATGAGGGATTGGTTTCTGAACCAAGGCCCGATACCCTGTTTTCACCAAAATTAACTCAGAATGTTGTACTCAATCAATTGTAGATGAGTAATATAGCTACGTTGATGTATTTATATTGTAAATAGCAATCACTTTGATTTGGAAGGGCTTCTTTGAGGTGACTTTGCTAGACTTTTTGAAGGGTTCTTTGCTGGAGTCTTCTCAGCAGTCTTGACTGCAGGTGTTTCTGGAGTCCCGTCTGCTTTCTTAAAGAAAGTGTCCAAGGAAGTTTGGACAGATGTTCTCCAGGGAGATGGGCGATGCAGCGAACTTGTTCGCTGGCCTGGCATGGCATCAGATCAAGCATTGTAAAGTTGAAACTGAGGTTAGAAAGTTGAAACAGGGTGTTAATTTATAAACTTTGTAAGTGCGAAATGTTGTGAGTCAAGGATTGCCTATATTGTATTAACGCCCTGAGTGGAAGAAAGTAATTTAAAAAACTTGCAATGAAAACCCTCATAACATTTCTGTTGTTAAGTGCTTTCACAGGTAGCAGGTTGTTGCATGAATACTGGTGAATAATAAATAATATAGTCCTTAAAGTATGGTAAACCAGCTTTGGTACTGTCGCGTATAGAATTTTGGGTGTCAATATTTTAGTGTTGGACCAATTGTGCGTCTAAGGGTAAAGTATTAACATCCTGAATTTTATACTTTACTACAGTAGTCTAAATTAAAAAGCTGCTTGTTGGGAATAGCCCAACATTAAATGGGCGGGCTTTCTTTTAGTAGGGATTGAGTAAAGGAGAGAGCGTTTTAGTTTTTAGAAGAAGAAATATGTTCAAGCTGATTATTGTATTTAGTGTATACAAGTTTTTGACACAATGGGGTTATTTTTTAATAGGTTTGATCTAGTTCAGAGAACGATGCAGGCTTGCACTGCTTTGGCATTCAATCTGCGCAGGAAGACAGAGTTCCTTGTGGCCTTGGCGGATTATTCCATTAAATGCTTTGATACAGGTACGGGATAGCTTTAAAAAGCTAACTTGAAAATAAAGGACAGCCATATTTTCTTAACAGGTTCACAGTTTGAAATCAAATATGAAATGTTTTTAGTCATAATCTTGCTTTATATTCAATGCCAGGTATTTTTGCAAGACAAACGTGGACCATGCAGATGCAAACCTCAGGCCTGTCCCGTACAAAGGTAGACTCTCTACCCATGATGAGCTTCACTGATTCCATTGAGGCTCCACAGAAACATAGGTAGCGCACTGTCAGGATTAGGATCGTAATTATCACCTTTTAAAATTCACTGTATTCGTATCTGTTAAGTAAGGTATATAGAGCAAACACAAAATTGGTCATGAATTTGTAGGCATATACAATTGAAACCCTTTTGCACTGACTTTTAAAGCTATAGCAAATCTTTGATTACTCAAATTAATCAAATCAAAGTGTACAATCAAATACCTGCATCTTCATTCCTTTTTAAGTGATTATTGGAAGTCACCCAAATGTTGTTTTGCACTTCAGTATTCTTCCGCCGGCATCCTTGGTGAAAACGGCAACCAATCTGTTACCATTTAATGTCTTTACCATTCTAAAAACAAAACCGCTAATAATCAGGTTGCTACTAAATCTGTTCCCCAAACAGTTTAGATCACAGAATGGCAAAACAGCAGAAGGCATTTTGTTGCCTTTGTTCTGAAGTCAATCCCTTTCTTTTTTTCTCAGTGCTGGCTGTTGGCCCAATGCTGATATTCCTTTTGTCTTCAGCTGCCAAACCATGTTGAGAAATGTTAAAATACAATACTTATTTTACTGTGTAAATAAATTATGTGGTTACCACAACAATTGTTCAGTTGCCAGAGGAAGGAAAGATGGTCGTGCAATTTTGGATAGGAGAAGTGGTGATCTAATATAATGCAAAGCCCATGGTAGGAAAGTTATGTGGGTGCCTGGGTCTAAAGAGACTAATCAAAGTTTTGCTTTTAACAGGTTTCCATAGTTGTGGCGTGCTGTACATTAAACCTTTCTTCCTTCCTCTCTTGCATGTACGAATAGTAGCTTGTCATTCTCTCATGATGCCTGCAAGCCAAAACAAGTGTACATGCAATTTACATTTTTTTTAGGATTAATATTTTTCGCACTGGGCAAGTCTGCCTTAGAGGCATATCCAGCTTGCTGCAATAGACATATTTATGATTCTTAAGACTGATAGCTGAAGGCAGATTAAACAAGTCTGCACAAGATGATTTCATGTGTAAAATTGTGAAATTGATTACTTCCCACATATGAGAAGCTGGATGTGTTTCTGTAATGTCTAGTTATATCGGGAATACTCAACTGTTCCTCATTTGTTGGATTGTAATGAAAAGAAAAGGTACCTTAGCTATGATAAGGAGACCACACACACTATTGTTTGAACAACAAGGTTTTATTGCCCATTGCTTCACTTTGCACAACGTATTTAAAATGCATTTCATTTGTACTGTAGATACAAAGGAGTTAGTAAGTTGGATGAGGGGACATGATTCTTCAATATCCTCCATCTCTGTCCATGGTTCAGGCAGATATGCCATCACTACATCCACTGATACAGCGCAACTCTGGGACCTAGACACCTTTCAAAGAAAGAGGAAGTTAAATGTGCGCCAGTCCGTGGGTATACAGAAGGTCAGTAAAGAGCAGCTGGTAAAAGATAACAAATGTACATGAGAATGCACCCAAGAGGTGTCTCTGCCATGGGCCTAATACATCCTTAGATCAGGGGTAGGCAATCTCTGGCACACGTGCCAGACCATGGCATGCGAAGGCATTTTGCTTGGTATGTGCACCTTGGGGTTGATGGCGGGGAAAGGGCCAGGGCTGTTCTGCCACAGCAAGGATTGGGCTCCTTGCAGCTCCCCCGCTGTCTGCCCCTAACATGCCAAAATCTTACAAATCAGGGTTGCAGGTGTTTTTGGCACTCTGCCCAAAAATGTTGCCACCCCCTGCCTTAGCTCTTTGCCTTCCATGTAAAACGGTAGAGGTTGCAGGGCCAGGGAAAAATTAACTTGGCTCTTGGTGGTCATTGGTAGTCCCCTGATTTAAGCATCATCTCTACTACAACTCATTGATGGGTCTTGAAGTGACTTGCGAGTCAAATCCTTGAACCACAGATCCATCCTCAAAAGCTTCAGGTCTGCATGGGGAGAGAAAGCTGTAGACTGGGATTTCTCTTCTTTTCCTTCTTCCACTCTCTCTTTTCTCCTTTGAAGGTAAGACACTACAGGCAACTCCTGCTTAACACTGTTTTGCTTAGTGCTGTGCCCCTATAACGCTTATTTTAAATTGATACCTGATTTAACTTAGCACTCAGCGACTTTCGCTTTAATGCTCACGGTCACCATCTTGGGTCATTAAAAACAAATGCAGTCGCCATCTTGGGTCATCAAATACTTTCAGTTTCGCGTAACACTCAGTTTTTCAGGAACCAATTAAGAGCTCTAAGTGGGGGTTGCGTGTACCTCAATGTTGGCTGCTAATTGGTTGAGGTTGTAGTGCCATTGGAGTTGATTTGCAGCCAGCTCCTCCAGGCTCTTGATGTCAGCATCTGGTTGTTTTTTTTTAAATATGCCTTCAATCTGTCCTTGCAGTATTTCCTCTGGCATCTGCAAAATCTTAGGCCACAACTAAGCTTGAAATAGAGCATTTGTATTGAGAGTCAAGAGTCAGCCATCCCCACACAATGTCTAGTCCAGCGAAGTTGATGGTTGAGGATCACTGATTCAATGCCGGTAACATTAGCTTCAGCCAGGATGCTTGGTATTTGTGCAGTGCTCTTCCCATTTGATGCAGAGGATTTTTCAGAGGCATACATCTCCAGGCTCTTGATGATGATGAGAGTAGATCATCCACATTTCGCATCCATAGAGGAGGGTGGGGGGTGACAACTGCATTGTAGACCTGGATCTTGGTCTTTCCAGAGATTGCAGTCAATAAAATCATGCCAAACCATTTCCTGGAGGAGGCACTTGAACACCAGATTTTGTGCTGGATTTTCTCATTAATGTTCACTCTCTAAGAGAGATGACTACCAAGGTAAGGGAAGTGCATGACTACCTTCAGTGTCTTTCCTTCAGTGGTAATTTGTAGCGGGAGGGGGTCATTTTTATGTTTTGGAGCAAATGGATAAAGCACTTTAGTCTTCTCAATGTTAAGAGAGATGCCCAAAGTTCAGTAGGCTTCTGCAAAGAAATCCAGCGTGGTCTGGAGGTTTTCCTCAGGATGGCCCCATCATCAGTGAATTAAAGGTCAAGGATGATTGTTTTGAATACTTTGGATTTTGAGCAAAAATGTTCCAGATTTCAGTACTGAATGGATGGAGGAATTTTCAGTATCAGTTCCAAAAGGGAGGCTGTCCTTGATGAGAACCATCATGCCAGTCAAAAAAAGGAGAACAGAACTGAGCCTATGATACATCATTGTTTGACCCCAGTTTGTATGACACATGGATCTATCTTCGATCTGCTACAAAGAACAGTCAGTCATCTGTTCTTAAAGAGGCCTCAGGGCCTTGATGCATTTTTCAGGGCATGCAGATTTGGCCAGTACTATCTAGATTCTACGAGGCTTGGCTATCTATTATTATTCAATGATCTTAGTAAGGTCATTGAAGCCCATAATGGGTTCTGATGTTGTTTCCAACACTTCTCTTATACCTGGTGGGCAACAAGGATCATGTCACTTGCCCTGCAGGATGGTTTGATTGCAACAGGACTTCCTTATCAAGAGGTAGAAGAGAAGATGGTTCAGGAAGATGTGGGCGAGGATTTTCCCTGCTGTGGGAAGGGTGATTCCTGATAGTTTCCGCACACAGACTTATCTCCGTTCTTAAAGATAGTCAGGATGTTGGCTTTCCTTAGGTCCACAGGGATCTCCTCATCGTTCCAAATTTGTATATTAAATTAGTACAATCTCAGTACTAGTTCCTTGCTGCCAACCTTGAGATTTCAGCAGGTATTCCATCCAGTTGTTCTTGATTTCCTTGATGGCATGCCAGACTTCTACGATTAGAGGGTTGGCAAGGGATCCCCTTTCAGGGTGTTGGGGAACAGACTTGATGGTGGCATCCATCAGTCAACTTACAGTTCAAGAGTGCTGCAAAGTGCTCTTTCTAAGGAGTATTGAGCCACCCTGTGATTGCAGGAAAGTAGGACAGTGGGAAGTTAGGTTATATATGGCTTTCATTGCCTAAGAAAAACTATGCTATGCTCTTGATGGTCACATCTTCTTTCACAGCAGCTTCCTGGTCCTGCTCCGCAAAGCTGTAGGATCAAGCCATCCTACCTCCATTCTGGCACCCCTGGGCACAAACTATCAGATCTGCTTCTAGAGAGTGGGGATCAGAACAATACTCAGGGATGGGTCAGGGCTTACCTTGTGACACACCTGGCAAAAATGTTGGCTGCCACTGTATTAGAGTATGGCTGGGAACACTAAGGAGTATCTCTATGTGCTCTACGTGGTGAAGACATGCTGAGACATCCCACCCCAGGTCTGTATGTGCTGGCTCCCAAACCATAAATATGTTCCTATGATTGGTGTGAAACTATCTAAAAAACCCAATCGAAGCATAACTCTTGGTGCCGCATGCAGGATAATTAGTTTTGCTTATCAATAGCACTTCTCAGCAGTAGTTATTGGCCTCCATTATATTAACATCAGTGTGGCATTTATGGCTTCTGGGTTCAGGAGCTAGTACAGGTTTCCCTCGCTTTATGCTGTACATGCATTCATGGAAAACGGCACGTAACTTACATTCTCATAAAGGGAACCTACTTTACAGTGTAACGAATAGAGATATTTTCAAGACCTTGACAGTCCTGACCCCCAGACCCATTTCTGCCGCTTTTACAGAACAATTTGGGTCCTCACCAACAGCAAACAGTACACACAAGCACAGGGCACTAGCATAATGGGGATGGCAATTACAGAACTGTGTGTCGTAGACAATGAACGAGGAGCACAGATTGACACAGGAGACTATATTTGGTATGTGTCACTTCCACAGTGCACTGCACAAAGCAGCTGCTTGTGGGCTTCCACCACGCTGATTGCATTAGAGTGAATTTACCTCGCATATAATTAATTTTTGGTATAAAAAAGGTCATCGCGTAAGAGCAAATTCGCACATACAGAACCCGCATAAAGCAAGGGAAACCTGTATATGCAGAACTAGCTACCGCTGCATGTTTCACATTGTCTGTAGAGCATAAGGCGATGTCATCATAGATTAAATAATCCAGGTGATTTTTTTTTTGTAGTAAGATATAAGCAATCAACATAGTCAAATAAATTGAGAAGAGCAGTTTATAACTTTTTATGATTATTTTCTTTTATCTTCATAGTAGAAACTACTTTTTATATTTTGTCTAATTTACCCCATCCATTTCTTCACTTTTTCTTAATTATGATACATGAAATTAATGATCTACAGTCTAAAGGACTGCGTTAGTAGGGTATTGGTGCACTTGGATGCTTTTTCAAAACTTTGTGTGTTTGAGCTGTTAATAATGCACAAATGCACATGTTGCTGTATTTTAAAATGTCATTTGGGGTGTGTATGTCTGCTTGGCAATATTTAACTATTTCTTTTCCATATCAATTTCTTTCAGGTTTTCTTCCTTCCACTAAGTAACACCATCCTTAGCTGTTTCAAAGATAATTCTGTTTTTGCCTGGGAATTTGATACTCTCCATTGTAAATACCAGCTGCCTACTTCAATAGAAGGCTCTACGTTGCATTATAAAATCTTCGCAGTTACAAGGTAAATTGCTCCTTTAAACACTCAAAAAGGTAGTTCTACATGAATCCTAGAAAGCAGTCCAGATTTTCTCTCTTTTTGCTGTTTCACAAAAGTAGTAAGCTGTATTTTTTCATATCTTTAAAAATACTCTAGGTATTTATTTTAACAAAAGTTGAAAATTTAATGTGAGATTTCCCAATCCAAAATGTTTTCCTTTTTCCGCAAAAAAGAAAAGCAGACCAATATGCACTTGAGAGATGCAAGTCCAACAGAGGCTTTGAGTCAAACAGAATGTGCTCTTTAGTCCAGCCGTAAGATAAAGACCATTCAATAGAAAGAAAAAAAGATGGTCTAAGAAGTATGTGAATCAATCATGTCTGCTTTAGGCCATCTTGATTTGTGTGCCAGGACAGAAAAGATATTGCTGCCAGAATTATTTTGTTATGAAAGTCAGCACTTATTGCAGCAAGGAAGATATTGCTGAGAATGAGTCAGGTAGGGCAGTGATTGTAGTTTATTGTTGTTAATAAAGTATAAAATACCTTTAAGAAGCTGCACAGTTGTATTAAGAAAAAGATATTAGTCCCTAGTGATGAATGAAGGGCCTGCAGTATATATTATGGCCTAGAGGTATAACTAGTTAGATGAGTGTGGCCTGATGAAAATGTGTCCTTTTTCTAATGCAGGGATGGCCGAATGCTTGTAGCTGGAGGAAAATCAAATCATCTTCACTTGTGGTGTTTAGAGTCAAAGCAGCTGTTAAGAATAATCCAGATGCCTACAAAAGTACGAGCTGTTCGCCATCTGGAATTCCTGCCTGATAGTTTTGATGGGGGTTCTAATCAGGTCAGTTGTGGGCGAAGCTTAAGGGTGGAACAGTTTGTTTACTCATGTCACAAAAATCTTGTTTTCTTATCCCGTCCCACATGCAGGCAAGTTACTTCACTAAATACTTGTTCTTTTGCTGCTTCTAATTAGATGAAGTAGATATCAAAGTTTTGTGCTCATGTTCTTTTCCATGAACAAAACTGATTTATAGAACTCTTCTTAATTTCTAGGTTCTTGGAGTTTTAAGTCAAGATAATATTATGAGGTTTATCAACGTACAGACATGCAAACTTCTGTTTGACATTGGAAGTCATGAAGAGGGGATCAGCACAGCAACAATTAGCCCAAATGGAAGATATATTGCATCAGTAATGGAAAATGGTAGTCTCAACATATACAGCATCCAGGTTTTGACCCAGGAAGTTAATAAGGTAGAGTTGTAAGAAAAGCAAACTGCAAGAATGGTATTAGAATACAATGTAAGAGTCAGTCTCACCTACAAACATTTTCATTCTGGGAAGAAAATTTGTCATTTTATCATTCACTTAAACATCTTATTTATGTAATTATAGAACACAGGATAGCTGACATGTTTTTAGACCTCATTAATTTCAGTATGTTGGATAATATTACCTTTTGGTTTCTGTTTTCCAGTTTTTTCTAAATCTTGCAGCAAGGAATACACACCTATTTGTTGGTTTTACTGAGATTGCACAGTCTCCTGTCCATTTCCTTCTTGGAAATGCAGTGCTACAGATGCCATCTTAAACTTGCAGAGATGAATGGGCTGTGATGCTCTCTTTATGTAGTCCTAGCTTATATTTTGGACCTTAGACATCATGAGTATAAAACAGCCACAGATCTAGTTCCTTTGTAAATAACACACATTCTAAAGACCAGCTTTTATTATGTTAGAAAGCAATTTCTGTACAGTTTCATGTTATCTTTAAGTATCATGTACTCAAAGTAAGCAGATTTGTATAGTTAGGAAGAAGAATGATCTAAGGGACTGAACAATTTCCTCCTCAGCCTTGCCTCTGGGTTGTTAAATGAATTGTAAAAATCATACAACTTATTTGACACTTTCTTCTCTCTACAGAGAAGATGGCTGCTTTTTAAAATGGAGTTGTGAGAATTAACAAATGTTTATAAATGCATTTTTCAGATCCCTAGATTATATATGTGCTGTAGAAACTTAAATAATTTTAGAAACATTCAAATACCTGATAATGCCATTTTTATACAAAGCGTGACGTACGCATGGTGTTCAGCCATATTCTGCTGTGCTTGTACATCTGCTTCAGAAGATGTATAAATGTGAGTCAATATGAAAAAGTCAAGACTAAAGCGGAACCTGCTGAGACTGACTCATAACCTCTCTGTCTGCGTAACATTCATTCCTTTCTCTGAGTTTTGGTTTATACTTCTTATATTCATGAATAGAAACAGATAATTAGCCCTCAGTCTAAAGTTAAGTGGAAGGCAGGCCAGGGTTGCACCACATAAACAAACACTTTCAGAAAGGCATGAGTTTTCATAGACTGCAGCTTGCTTCATCAGATGCCCTGAATGGATGTTCATAATCCATTTTGGATGAGTTAAGTCTGCAAAGCAGGGGTAGGCAACGTTTTTTGGCCGGAATGCCAAAACCCCACAATGTCTACTTTGGAAGGTGCCGGAGTGCTAGCATGCCAGAAAAACAAAATGAAGGTGGGGGGTACATGGCAGGATGCCCTGCATATTAGAATATTTAATAATCATAAATATTGCCTTTGTTATTATGTATTCCTTTTTTGTTAAGCATGTTGCAATGAGAGAGAGAGAGAACAAAAGGAAGAGGGAAGGAGAGAGAAAAAAGAGGAGAGAGAGAGAGAAAGGAGAGCAGAGAGAAAACCAGACACATACACACGACATAGAGAACCAGACACACACGCGTACACAGAACCACATGTGCACAAACAGAACCAGAACAGACACATGCATACGCACATCCAGGACCAGACACGTGTGCACACAGAGACGCACAGAACCAGACAGAGGAAGACAAACACACAGAACGAGATGCGCGGGTGCACAGAGCCAGGCTGCTGGGCCACCAGACAGAATCCGACTCAACGATGCCCTGGGTCCGCCAGAGCCCCTGTGCTTCCCCGGGGAGCCAGCCCCGGCGCTGCAGCACTGCTGGCTGAGGCCCTAGCCTGGAGCCTGCCCAACCACCCACCCACCCACCTTGCACCCAACCAAGCCTGCAAAGGTGCTGTGCTCCTGGCAAGGGGCAGCGCCAGCCTCATCCTGGTGTGGGGGCTGGGCTCAGAGCAGGTGGGAGTCAGGCAGGCTCAGCTGCATGCCCTGTTGCAAGTGGCCCAGGCTCCGTGGTTGGCAGCAGCTACCCAGAGCCTGGGCTGGCTGCAGCTGGGAGGCTGCAAACAGCTGCCCCAGGCTCTGGCATCATCTCCATACTGGCGGGTGCACGCGTGCCTCAGAGAGGACAGTGGGGGAGGGGCCTGAGGCAGTGCAACCCTGGCTTCTTCCCCGCTGCCAGCACAGAGCTGATGACTCAGCTCCAGAGCCCAGCACAGCTGTTTGTAGCCATGCTGGGCTCTAGGCAGCTGCAGTGGGCAGGCTGCAAACAGCTACACTGGGTTCCACAGCCCTGGCATCAACTCCATGCTGGCAGTGACTGCATGCTCATCTCGGAGCGGACAGCGGGAGAGTTGTGCTGCCTCATGCCCTATCCCCACTGTCTACTCTGAGGTGCGCTTGCAGTTGCTGCCATCATGACGCTGATGCCGGGGCTGTGGAGCCCGGCGTAGCTGTTTGTAGTCTCCCGGCTGCACCCAGCCCAGGCTCTGGATAGCTGCTGCCAACCTCGGAGCCCGGTCTGCTGGACTGGCAGTGGCATGCTGAGCAAAATGGCCTTGCGTGCCATGCTTGGCATGTGTGCCAGGGGTTGCCAGCCCCTGCTGTAAAGTGACACCCTGCCCTGCCTTCTGACAATTTTTGAATGGTTATTTCTGTTGTAAAGTCTATCTCTGTTTTCCTTATCTGATCACATTAAAGAATATTGCATGGAATATAAAGCCTCTTTTGTGAAAATATTCTTTTGCCCCAGTATCACAAGATGTTAACTGAATTATTCTTATTTGAAACTAGCCTCCACCACCCCTGTTTAGAGTGGTTGAAGATTTGTCCAAAAACAAAGCAGGGACAAGTAAGCTTACAGTGAAAGTATCATCAGGAAGATCAGAGAGGCCTTGGAAATCAAAAGGAAACAAAATTCAAACTAAAGTGCTAAAACCTCAACTGAACATGTCACTTGAAAATAAAGAGGTAAGAAGTTGCAAGTACTATAAATGTTTTTGTACCTGTTCTGCAACATTTGCATTTGCATCAAAACAACTCTCTGTTTATTTTCTGTTCAGTTTTTTCTACATTCAGATGTTTACTAAATCTTAAATATCGGGTTTGTTGCTTCTGTTACCTTTACGTAGAGCTTTACTGATCTGCTGTTCTAATTATTAACATCACTTCTAAATGTTTTTACTGCATCCACTTAATTTGGTGGGGGTTTTTGTGGGGAGGGCGGTATTATAATTTTCTCTTGGGTACCACTGCTTATTTTCTTCATCCAGCTACCTTGCTTCTCTTTAAATTTATCTTCAATTTCATCTCTTGCCTCCTTGGAATTAGATTTATTGCAACAACACATTTTATTGTGTTGATGTTATTTATTGTTTAGTTTCAATTTTATTGGCCATTTAGTTGCATAAAATCCTAGTCATCTAGGGTCTGATCCAGTTCCCACTGAAGTGTAGAAGTGTAGTGTGATTGTCCATTGAATACTGTAGGAGTTGAATCAAGCATTTTTATATGCAAAATGGCTCGGATACAATGACAGATACTGCTGTAATAATTCTCGTAATAGTGGATGTTGCTAACAGTTGCTGTCACTTCCTACCAAGTCTACTGCAAAAGCATAAATTAGCAGAATAAGAAAAAAAAAAAACCCAAGTATAACAGTATTTGCCTTTCTCCTCGTTGACACATCAGCCACGTACAGGTGTTGGTGTTAAATTTCTACCAGATAGAAACCAGGAGTGTGCAAGCATACCTTTAATTTTTACTAGAGAAAACATGCCCCCCTTCAGGAGACATTCCAGGTTGACAACTGGAGGATGTCCCCTGTGAGGAAAACTCTCACAAGAATGAACACCCATACACTTCTGTTAGACTCCTCTGTGATCCAGAGGAGTTAAGCAGCTTCCCCTGTGCCTTCCCAAGACTGGGACTCCCTTAAGTCTATAGAAGGTATGGGGGGCAGTGCCCTGCTGTTCCCGTCTCCCTTTGGAGTTGGGATCATCCCCGTGTGAGGAAGGCAAGGAGAGAAGGGAAGGCAATTGCAGGCTGAAGTGTTTCATCTCCTGGGAAGATTTCTAGCAGGGAACACTTCTCAGCCATTTCCACCATTAGAAATGACCGCCTGTTCAAGCCAGAGATTTATGAAGACAAAAATGCTATTTACAGTTCTTACTGGTTTCCTATTTGTAGAATGAATTGCCGTGTGGATTAAACAAGAAACGTCTACAAACCTTATTGAAAGGATTTGGAGAGTATCCAGCAAAATACAGGTGCGTTTGTGCGCTCTCATGCACACAGAGTAAAATGTGTTGTGTTAGCTTAACAAAGGAGGCTTTTTTTGCTAAACCTACATCATTATTGCAGGATGTTTGTTTGGCGTTCCTTACTACAACTTCCTGAAAACCACTTGGCATTCAGCAGCCTGATAGACAAAGGTATCCACTCTGCCTTTGTGGATCTTCAGAAAGAATATCCCATCAAAAGTAGGAAACTGTTGCGAGTCTTACAAAGGTAAATATAAGTTTCCATTAACATGTACGCATGTTTATGCATCTACCTGGGACCAGCTTGGGGAAATGTTGGTTGATTTTTGCAACATCTAAGTCTTATGTTAAACAATGTCATTTTCTTACATTATAGTTGTTAACACACAATCTGATTGAATCCAGGAGCATTATGTTTAATCACCTACTTACGAGTATATTTGAAAGCATTTTAATTCTTTTTTATGTTGTAGTTGTTTGGTAAAGAAGTGCAGTGACTTTTAGATGCTTTCAGGTATTTCCTCTTCCATCTACAAGGGAACTAATTGTCCCCTAATCTGACTCATTCTTATGTCTAGATGTGAATAGCATGGTCCTATGTTGTGTTAGGTCTTGTGGGGGGCGGGTTTGGTGTCAGTATTTCCGAATCGAATTTCTGAATCGAATCAGAAGACCCTTTAATCTCTCCAAATCAAATCGGAACCCTCCGAATCGAGTCAGAGAGATTTGGAAAGATTCGGCGATTCAGACATAGGCACAGCTTTTACATGTTTTTTCTACATACTTCAGGGTAGTAGGCAGCTCGTGAAGGTTGCTGTGGTGGGATGGATGAAGCGTCCCACAGGAGTGCGGGAGCGGGGGGGGGGGGGGAGTACCCAGTGCACTTGGCAGCGGACCCAGAAGTGGACCGGAAGCACTTGTGGTCCGCTTCCGGGTCTGCCAGGGAGTGCGCGGGGGGCCCCTCCACCCCTGGCTTAGCGACTGGTGCCTCCTGGGTCAGGGTGGGGTACCTGGGGTCCTTCCTCAGCCGATCATCAAGCCAGGGGGGACCCCTGCACGCTCAGCAGTGCACCCGGAAAGTGGACCAGAAATACTTCCGGCCCACTTCTGGGTTTGCTGTCAAGCATGCGACAGTCCCCCCTGTGGGACGCTCCATCCACCCCAGCATTGCAGCATTCATAAGCCATGCCTGGTACCTCAAGGTATGTAGGAAAAACATCTATAGTTGTGTCTGTGGCCCGAATCGCTGATTCTCTGAATCGGCATCAAATCTTTAGATTTGGATTTGGCCAAATCAAATCGGGACAGTGATCCAAATCAACTAATCAAATCACTATTCCTGATTTAGGCTGAATCCAAATCGAATATGGCCTGTTTCGCACACCCCTAAGAAATATAGAAGCCTCTGTTCATATATTCATGTGTTATTTTGTTCATACGTTTGAGTTATTTGTTCATATGTTATTTTTGAATACAGAATAGCATTAGGGTCCTTATTACACTTACATTAGAAATAAAATGTAAAATTAAGGATTTTTTTCTAATCCCAATTTAGTCTATCTGTTGTGGGGGTTGTAACAGGTAATATTCTGCCTACTAAAATTTCTAGATGCAGTAGAGTTGTTCCAGGACAATGACAGAAACCTACAATTCCCCACCAATGCAAGTCTACTCCTGGACCCAATGTTATTTAAGAAAAATAAGTTTCAATCTTTTATAATTACAGCTTGTATATTGTGGCAAGCTACACATTTTTGGGGGACAAATATTTCTTCTATTTTATTCACAGGACCTTATCGGCTTTAGGTCACTGGTCTGCGATTTTTGGTGAGACACCATATGTTCCTCTGCTATCATTCCCATTTGTAAAATTATTCCAAAACAACCAGCTCATCTGCTTTGAAGTTGTTGCTACTGTAATAGGTAAGCAAAAATTTACTTCCAAAATCCCTTTAAAAACACATTCAGTTTATTTAGTCTTGTCCCTGCATCCAACCCCAAATTTGCTATGCTTGAGAGAAGATAAATTATAAATGATATCCTTATGGGAGGGCATTAGTGGCTTTTGTTATTTTTAAAATATAAAAAAGACACCGTTCAGGAAAAAAAGCCTGTTAGGAGTCAGTGTAAGGTCCAGTTATCTTTGCTAGTTATGATTCAAAAATATTGAACTGCTGCATTTTAATCAGTTTATCACATCTGTATTTTTATAGTCTAATCTCTAATTGTTAAAAGTATATTTATGCAGTATAATAATGGTGTCATGTTAAATCCTTTAAATCCATGCTTGACACATGGGGAGACAAGTCAAAAGAAAAGCTTTTATCTTAGTTTAAAAGTGTGATTGTACTAAGCTGTTGTAGTCCAGCAGTAACTTATGCCACCAACAACCTTCATTACCTTCCAAAGAAATACAGCAAATGTAAGTGATCTGTACTGAAATTATCTGCTATATCAAAACACGTGCTACTGTATACAAGTACTTATTATGCAACTCTACACTGAGTGGCTGCAAAATAAGCATCAACCTTTGAAATTAGGCCCCGGTGGGTAAAACCCTCTGCTTCTCTTTGGTATTACTAAATTGATATTACTATGCTTGTTCGTTTGTTTTTTTCCTTTCTTAGTTAACTGGTGTCAACACTGGTTTGAGTATTTTCCTAATCCGCCAGTCAACGTTCTTAGTATGGTGGAAAATATCTTGGCACATCATGATAAGGAATTGCTGCAGCATTTAATAAACTTCAGTGTGACATCACAGGTAAAACTCCTATCTAGCTTCACACTGTTAGTAAACAGTGTGTAATTTTCATTTTGATATAAGCTTTTATTACGACTTAATTTAACAGTGAATATAAAGAACATAGAGTCATTTACCTGTAGTTTTATATTGTTCAATTTCATCACGTATTGTCTTTCAGATTCTCTTTCATGTAAGTATACATTTTCAGAAATCTATCATGGGCAATTATGAACACATTTAAATACGGTTTTCTCTTAGTTTTGAAAATCAGCATAGCTTTGACTGAATTCAGTAGATAGGTGAATTAAGCCCATACAAAATGAAATGAAAATAGATCATTTATTCATATATATTTTAGTTATCTAATCAGAATAGTTATATGTTAAAATATCTTAAAGAAATTTTGATATCTGTCTTTGAGCAAAATGCTGAAAGAAAAAAAGAAAGAGAATGAGAGAAGTGTCTATATACTAAATTCAGTTCCTAACTTGTACATAGTGGGTGCATCTACATGAGTAATTAATGAGACATGATAAACTCCGTAGCACTTTGATCCTGAGTGAACTGCTCCTAGGCTCAACATCTACATGCACACCCAGGACAGCAGTAATTTGAACTGGGGTGGAACAGGCCCCTGGCTGCCTAGGCTGAGGGGGCAATATTTACACACCCGGTCACCATCTACATGTGCATTTTAGCGCCTTTAATTACTACACTGTAAGAGAGTACTTATTCTACAGCAGAGTTGATTAGTTTACTGTACCCTGAACCAGTGCACTTGTAGACTGTGATGAATTACTGCAGAGCTAATTAGTCAGTAGTAAAGCGCATGTGTAGATGCACCCAATGGTTACCTTATCTATCTTTTGGTATGGTTCCAGATGGTGTTTATAAATTGATTCTCGGCATATGACAAGAAAGATCCTCCTGTATATTCAGATTTATCTCCATTTGTAATCATATATTATTTCTGTAACAGAAACTAGGAAACTGTACTAATGGATGATTTTATTATTTTTTCCAATTTAGTTATATGCCTGGCCTCTTCTAGAAACTTTGTTCTCTGAGGTTCTAACAAGAGAAGAATGGCTGAAAGTGTTTGATAATATCTTCTCCAATGATCCTTCATACCTTCTAATGATGGTTGCTGCCTATATTATATGTTCCAGAGCTCCTTTGCTTCACTGCAGTCAAAAAGAGGACTTTGAGGTAAGCATCTTAATGTCACACATAATTGTAATGTATAATATATTTAGAGGTTAAAAAAGAAACTTGCTGTTGAATGTTAGTTTATATACTATGCCTATTTCGAGCAGTATCCTTTACTAGTTGACAGATTCACTGTTGAATGAAAATAATAACCAATTTATTGTACTTGTGTGTGTTAAAAGGCTTAAGAGCTTGCCCTGATTATTTGTTTTTCTGTATGTTGTTTGCTTTAAACAATAAAGCAAGAAAATTTAACTCTTTGAGTGTGGGACAGTGATTTACCATGATACCATTCTTCTTGCTATCTGGATGTAGCACAATAGAAAGTGGTTTTGGCACACTCATGTTTCATTACTTTGCCTTCTGAAATGCAGACCCTGTGAGGCCATCTTGGTTTACTTCCTCCAAATGTAAATGAAAATATTTTCTCATACATAAAACAGGAGTGTCAAACTCTCAGTTGTCCCAAGGATTGAGAAGGAAGCTTTGTAGACATGGCCTTAATGTGTACTAAAAATGTCCGTACAGGGAGTTAGTGAGGAGTTGCTGCTTTGCAGGAAATTCACACCCTGACTTACTGCATAACTAATTTCCCACTATAGAGGTCTAATGTTTTGTGGTAAAGGGAACAAAGGAAAAGAAGTTCTTGGAAAAGTTGCAGTGCTTTTGATAAAGCCTTCTAAGATGGTATTTTTTTCAGAGTAATGATCAGTGTGGAGATTTCTTGTTGTGTTATAAATCAAGTTTTAGAATAGGGAAATAATTAATACATGTATCAAAATAAAATACCTAACTACATTTAAGTATTTAAAATGAAATCATCTTTCTTACAGTATTTCTTCCATCATCGAAACAACCTGGATATTAATGTTGTGATTAAAGAAGCCTATCATCTTATGGAAGCTACCCCAGCAGATATTCATCCACAGCGTATGCTTGATGACTTCATACCACTCACAAAGGGGCAGTACCCCGTATTTAATAAATATCCCAAGTTTATTGTGGATTATCAGACTCAGGAGCGGGAAAGGATCAGACACGATGAAATTGAATACTTACGAGAAAGGTATGCATGGGAAAACAGAATATATCGAATTTATTGAAAATCTGAGTAGTGATACACTGTAGATAAAGGAAATATATATTCCTGCAAAGAGACAGTGTTAGGAAAAAATGGATTAATGCTTTACTTTTGATTAGCCCTCTCTGGCTTGTTGGATTTCTCAATGAAATGAAGAGTCTGCATGAATTGCTGAAATAGTGATGCATTTGAAAACATCTAATTTGTTAGTTCCCTAATAATATTTGGTCCACAGTTTGCAATTTAGATGACTTAGGCCCCCTCTACATGTTACAGGTATTTTACAATTAACTGGTTATTTGCACAGTTAACCAGTTAATTGTGCACAGGCAAAGTAGCTATCACAGTAAAAGCTCCCATCAGCTGACAGGGCTCCCACCCACAGAGGTGCCTTAGGCCCAGCAAAAAAAACCCTGAGTCCTAAGAATTGTGGCAGCCGCAGTCCCAGGGGTCCAGGGGGTTGCGACACCCCCAGGGTGAGGAGACTGCCCCTTCAGCCCTGGGGATTTCGCACATCCCCAGTGCAGAGAGATTCTTGCGGTAGTGATCCTCCTGCCCCAGAGATGCGTGGGGGGTGTCTGCAACTGAGACCCCCTCAACCAGGGTGCATGGGACTCCTACCCACAGGAGCCTGCTTCTTGCTGGTGCAGGGGAAGCCCAATCCCAGGCTCCCCCTGCACTGGCAATAAGGCATTATGGGATCTAACGTGCAATCCCACAATTGTTCCTCCTGCCGTGCATTTGTGGCATGGCAGGAGGTGCGATTGTATGAATTGCATGTTAGATCCCATCATGCCTTTAGCTGCACATGTAGAGGAAGGGCCCCGCTACACATTCAAATTAAACCTGAATAGAAACCAGCTGTAGAGTTGTTATACATTTTCAAGCACTAGCTTTATAGCTAGTTGGCTCTTGTTATAGCTGGATAGTCATTTTTATCATGTGATAATTACTTTGCACATGTGGCTGGTCTAAATGTATTTTGCAGTTTAACCAGTTAATTATATAATAATTACTCTGCATGTTTGGCCAGTCTAAATTTACTGTGTGATTTATCAGTTAATTGATTAATATATGTAATGTGTAGCAGGGGCTATAAAGGTTGGTATTTTTAAGCAGTCCATCTTAAGAAGGCAAAACTGGCCTGAATTTCAGAGGTGCTAGGAATTCTCATCTCTCCATCCAGTTTATAATTTAAACTAATATGAAGCTGATCTCACAGTAGGCATGTTCAAGGTGTTGTTGGGGTAACAAAATGTCTCCAGCAATCTGAGACAGGCAGTTATCTAATGTGGCACTAGAAGGAGACTATGACTTTTACAAACCAGGCAGTTGAAAACATAAGTCAGCCAGGACTGTTCTAATAATGCAGGGATGGCCAACTTCTGGCATCCATGCCACAAGTGGTACAGACAGCCTCTTTGTGTAGCATGCAGCAGATCAGGAAAGGAGCATAAAACAGAGTGTTAGACAGGGCAGGAAGTAGAAAGCAGAAGAGCAAATCAGGTAGGGAAGGGGATTGGAGTGGCACTTAAGGAGGATGTGGGGTGAACTGTGGCAGGCCTGCCAAAAAGGTTGGCCACCCACTGTCATAATGCGTACATTACACTTCTTTTAAAAATGTAGTACAAGGGTATGAAAGACACCGAATGAATTTGATATATCTATTGTAGTCAGTTGATTTCAGATTAAATGGTGCCATCTATTCCAGGACTAGGCAGCTGGTGCACAGACAGCATTTAAATTAATGCTTTCCTATGACTAGGTCTAATAAAAGATATCAAATTCACCCAAGGAACCTTGTCTTCCTATGACTAGCAGTTTTAACTTGTTGAATAATCTCTTGAAATCTGTTTTGCTTACACTAATGACAGGAAATTCTTCCCTTCAGACAATTAGTTCATGAGTTAGAAGCTAAAGCAGTGCAGCGACAAGTGGAAGATGAAGCCTGGTATCGGAAGCAAGGTCTGCTTCGTGAAGCTGAAGAACAAAGGAGAAAAATTCTACTGGAAGAAGAGGAAAAGCTGTCAGATCAAAAACAAAGGTATTAGTGAAATTGGGATTGTGAACCCTGGCTACAGCTCCCTGCTGTTGTCGTAATTAAAAGTAGGAGAAAGATGCCACGGTTTTGTTTGAATTGTAAATATAGGGAAGCAGTATGTTCTAGTGAGTAGGGCTTTGGACTGGAAGTGCTGTTCCTGGTCTTGCATTGTTCTTATATATGACCTAGGTAAATTACTTCATAATTCCATCTCCACTCCTGCCCTTTGTGCTATCTCTAGCTTACAAGCTCTTTGGAGCAGACACCGTCTGTACAGTGGTTAAAATAATGAGGCCTCAAATTCAGCTGGGGTGTCTAGGTGCTAAATAACTTGTAGTAGTAGTAGTGATAATGAGGAATGCATAGTCTCGTGTTTCTGCTGAAATTAAGTCCCTGCTTTAATGAACTGTCAAGTACTGACTTCAGAGTTCTGTGTTGTGCTTGAACTAATGCTGTACTAGTATTTAAAAAGCAGAAAAAGTTTATAAACTTAGACTTGTAACCTTTCAAAAGAAATTCAGAATCTTTGCAAGTCTTTAGCTAAACTGTGAAAGGGGTAATTTTTAGACTTTTCAAACAGATGTTAAATAGCTATGTGTTTTTAAAAGAACTCTAAACTTATATATTTAAATTTAAAAAAGTAGTCAGTGGCTTTCCCTTCAGACGAGTTCATACAAATCTGCAGTTGTTTCCAGAAGCAGCTTAATATTTTTATGGAATCCTAGTAAACTAAAGCTAGTTTTTACTAACAGCAACAGTAATATAACCGATAGGAGCTCAGATGACTTATCTTGCTCTGAAGAACCATTACCTTTTTAGCTTTTAAATTTGGTGTCCAAAAGTGCAGATTTTATTTCCAAAACAAAACCTGTTTTGATTCAAGCATCATTGGTTAAAGAGAATAAATTGCAGCAGATAAGGAAATAACTATGATTCAAGAACACCTCACTTTTCAGTACCAGCCTTTTATCAGTGTAGGTTTACTTGTTTCTCTTTAATTTGGTTTCAAGATTAGCTGCTGTGAAAAGAGAATTGAAAGTAAAAGAGCTGCAGCTTCTGGATGCTGCGAGAAGGCGTTTTCTGAAATATCAGCAAGATCAGCGGCAAATGGAGCTAAAACGTCTCGACGATGAAATTGCTAGAAAGGTTTGGTATCATCTCAGCAATATTTCCTTGCATGTACTGAGAGACATAGATAAGGAAAAACGCATAGCTAATGCTAGAGTTTCTTTTGCTGACTAGCACGTTGTGAAACCAGGGCTGCATAGTGAGAGTTGTTTTCTTGGCTGGTGAATTCATATTTATGTAGTTCTGTTGGCGCTTGCTGCAGTCCATCCAGTTTTTTTAAACTGACATATTGATGAGAAAAGCCAGGTTTGTTTAAAAGTCAGCAATGCCAAAAAAATAAAATGAGCTTCCTCAAGGTTGTAAAACAGTGGTGCTCAACCTCTGATCCAGGGGTCAGATCCAGCCTGCAGAGCCATGTCATCTGTCCTGCACGTCTCCCCTTACAGATCCAGAAATTTGCCAGCAGGGGATCAGTGGCACTGCTAATTGCATGCCTAATTTCTGAAGCCGAGCAGAGCCCTGCGAGCCAGATAACGTGGCACTGCCAAGAAACTCAGGGTCCACTCCGTGATTGTGCCCAGGCCCGCAAGACCAGGTTGGATAACATGGTCTTACCTCAGTACTTGGGGTCACTCTGTGGCCAGACCCAGGTCCATGGGTCACAACTGCAGACTGTTCCTATGTGTCAGCTACTTTAAGGATCCAGGCTGCAGGCTGACCCTGGGCCACTCATCCTGCTCACAAAGCCAAAAGGTTAGGCACAGCTGTTCTAAAACTATCTTTTGTACAGCAAAAGGAAAGGAGATTGCAACATGGGGAAAACAACTCTACCTTTCTGTGGCTTCCATTAGTTCATTCCTCTCCACTAGGCATCCGTGAGAGAGCGGGAAACAGCTGCTACAATTCAAGATGTAGAAGTGCGGCGGATGGAGCTTGAATCCCAGAGACGGCTTTTTGAACAGGTATGTAGCCAGATGGTTGTTTGAAATGGTTCTTCTTGTGGTGTTCCCAAAATTTAATTTGGTTGCTTTTGTATTAATGTTGACCAGAGTAGGGTTTTTTTTTTCCTGCACAGTCTCTTGTAAATTTAAACCTCTGCTTTAATTAAGCACTGTGGAAAAAATTCCTCTCTCTCTCTCTCTCTCTTTC